CCTGTTAATAGTCTCCTTTCTGCTTTTGTGTTACATGTGTTACTGGTCCTTTAAGGTAGTGTTTCCACTCCTGATCCCTGTCTTGTTTTATGACCTACACCCACAGAGCTACACACATACACAAACACATATATACAAATTAAAATCTGGGGCTGTGGAGATGGTTCAGTGAGTAAATATTTGCTGCACAAGCATGAAGACCTGCGTTTGAATCCCTAGAACTCCTGTAAAAGGTGCTGGGTGCAGTGACATGCATGTGTAACCCCAGCATGGGGGAGATGAAACAGTAAGTTCCAGGTTCAGTGGGAGAGTCTGTCTCAAAAAATAAGGTGAAGAGCAAGCAACAGAAAAAGAGGCCCAATGTTGGCCTCTGGCCTCCTCTCTCTCTCTCTCTCTCTCTCTCTCTCTCTCTCTCTCTCTCTCTCAAAAAATTAAAATCGAGGATCCACACATTAGAGAAAACATAGTGTTTGTCTTCCTGAATCTGGAATATTTTACTTAACATAATAATTTTCCCCAAAATGTCATGATTTCGTTTTTTCTTTACAGTTGAATAAGATTCCACCCTGCATATTTACCACTTCTTTTATCCATCCATTGATGGATGGGTGTCTAGGCTGATTTCATGGTATATGGTATGTGTATATATGTATGATGTATATATATTCACTCTGACCAGGGTGAAATGGACTCATGTACATTTCCCTGATGCCTAAGGATATTGAACACTTTTAGAAAAATTATTAGTCAATTGTAGTTCTTCTTTTGACAACTCTCTATTCAGTTCATTGTCCCCTTTATCAAAACTTTGGGTTTTTTGACACTGAAGTTTTGCCGTTCTTTATATATTCTAGGTATTAGCTTCTGTCTGAAGCTAGAAAAGATTTTCTCTCACTTTTTAGGCCTCCTCTTCACTCTGCCGATGGATTCCTTTGCTGTGTGTACAGGCGCCTTTTAATTTCATCAAATTCCATTTGTTAATTTTTGGTTATTTCCTGTGCTGTTAGAAGTATTTTCTGAAAGTGCTAGCCTATATTTATATCTTTTAAAAATATTTGTACTAATTCTTTGAGAATTTCACACAGTGCGTTTTGATCCTATTCACCCCCAGCTCTTCCAGAGCTCCCCGACTCACCCTTGCGACATTTTTTTTCTATTTTTGTAAAAGCCCCACAGGTCCAGTTTGTGCTTCCTATATATTCTTGGGTATGAGGCTATCCACTGGTCCATCCTCGACCTCCCAGGGCCACGACCTTTATTTTTTAAAGGTAAAAAGGGGTTTTGTGAACGTCATACATGATGTTTGCACCATTTTCATCACTCTCAGTCCTCAACTCCCCCCCATCCCCCGACTCCCTCTCAATTTCCTGTTCCCTTCCTTGATTATTGTTGTTATAGGGGTCACATTCTTAAAGTAAACCAACTCTCCCTGTTGCTCTCAAATGCCAATAGTTCCTCAGCCGGGGGTGAGGCATCATGTCCACCTCCTCTCTCCATACTGGGATTTTTGTCCGGCTTGAGCTTGTGTGGGTCTTAAACATGCTGTCACAATTGCTCTGACTTCATATGTGATACTGCCCTGTTGTGTCAGGAAAACTGCCATGTGGAGGTCAGAAGACAACTTGTGGGAGTCAGTTCTCTCCTTCCACCGTATAGGTGCCAGGAATTGAACTCAGGTCTTCAGGCTGGTGGCAAACTCCTCTAGCCACTGAGCCATCTCACCAGTCCTGGGCTTTTCTTTGTGGGGAGACTTTTAGGTGCTTCTTCAGTTTCATTATGGATCTGTTTAAGTCATTAACACATTCTAAATTTAATTTTGATAGGTCATATGTAGTTAGGAATTTGTCCATTTCTTCAGAGTTTCCAGGTTTTGGTATATAAGTTAGGTGGTCTGATTGGTTGGATTGTCTTTTCCTCCTCACTGAGTATTAGGCGTTTGCTGGTTACTGTTGGACGTGAGGAGTTCCTTCTTGGCTCTCCTTTGTTTACCTTTTCTAATAGTGAAAGATTCTTTCCTCTACTGAATGTTTTTTAATGGGCTTGTTTCCATGTGAACCCTCTGAGGACACACTGGACCACAGGGTAGGAGCCAACAGGGGAAGCAAGGCGATTTCAAATGCTGAGCTCCAGGGTGAAAGGAAGCTGCAGGGACTTGGGTTTGCCAGGTAGCAAGATTGGGCAAGACCTACTCACGATGGCTACCTCCTGTGGCACCAGGCTTTTACCTTGAGAAATGCAGAACATTTGTCAAGTGGCAGTGCTCTTCGGCTCTCAGGTCAACTCTGTCCATACTGCCTTTACACTTTGCATCTGTCTCTGCTGGCTTTGTCCACCAGGCTTGTCTTATGGAGGCCCCAGCACTAAGGTTCCCTTTCTTCTCTGTTCCCGAGTCTCCAGAGCTTTCCAAATCTCTGTCTATTGAATGTACTGATTGTGCCACAGGGACACAAATCTCTGTTTGACTTTTAAACCTCTTGGTGCCCCTTCAGTCAACTGTCTTTCTGAGAAGCTGTTTGCAGGCTGTTAGAAGTGGGTCTCAGAGTATCTGATATTTGCTGTCTTCATTACTGCATTTCTTTAGCTCACTTTGAGTTTAAGATTTTTCTTTTTAAAAAAAATAGTGTTTTAGGGGGATGGAGAGATGGCTCAGCAGTCAAGAGCACTGGTTGCTCTTGCACAGGACTCAGGTTCGATTCTCAGTACCCACAGTGGCTAACAACAGTTCATAACTCCAGTTCCAGGGGAATCCGATACCCTCTTCTGACCTCTGCCTGCAATGCACAACATAGGTACACTTACATGCATGCAGGCAATATACTCATACACATAAAATAAAAATAGTAAATAAAATTTTAAAAAATACTATTTTGGTCCCTACCCTGGGACCCTGAATCATGATGTAACTACTAACAAAACTCACTGGATAAAAAAATAGTATTTTAAGGTGAAAGCTTATGTTGTTTGATGTGAGACTATTTCTTTTGCAATATAAGAATTTCATCCTATGAATCTTCTGAAAGCAGTGCTTTAGCAGCATCTCGCAAATATTTCTATGTGTGGCCTTTCTATTTCAGCATGAAATGTTTAACATTTTTCTTGAGGGGCTGGGGAGATAGTACAGTTGGTAAAGCACTGGCTGCTCTTACAGAGAACCTAGGTTCGATTCCCAGCACCCACATGGCAGCTAACAACCATCT